ATTTAAAAAAGTAATAATAATAATAATAATATTAATAATGATAATAATAATGATGATGATGATGATGATGATGATGATGATGATGATGATGATGATGATGATGATGATGATGATGATAATGGTGAAGATAACAATGATACAAATAATGATAAAGATATCAACAATAACCGTGACAGTAATACTACTACTACTACTACTACTACTACTACTACTACTACTACTACTACTACTACTACTACTACTACTACTACTACTACTACTACTACTACTACTACTACTACTACTACTACTACTACTACTACTACTACTACTAATAATAATGATAATAATAATAATAATAAGAAGAAGAAGAAGAAGAAGAAGAAGAAGAAGAAGAAGAAGAAGAAGAAGAAGAAGAAGAAGAAGAAGAAGAAGAAGAAGAAGAAGAAGAAGAAGAAGAAGAAGAAGAAGAAGAAGAAGAAGAAGAATAAGAATAATAATAATAATTATAATAATACTAATAAAATACAAAATAAAAAAATAATAATATTGATAGCAAAATTAATAATGATAATAATGATAATAATGATAATAATAATAATAATAATAATAATAACAACAATAATAATAATAATAATAATAATAACAAATTATAATAATATGCTGCACTAAGCTGCAAAGGCAACAATTTACAGTAAAGTGAAAAAAAACAACCATTTTTCCTTTTTTTCTCCTTTCTTTTTATGTGTGTGTTTTTTTTTTTGGGGGGGGGGGGGGGGTTTAGTACGATATTACTATACATTCGTTCTATCATTTCCCCTATTTATGCTGTTGCTGTTGTTGCTGTTGTTTTTTATGTTGTTATTGTTGTTGTTGTTGTTTTAATTTTTCAAAATGTTTTACTAGAGACTAACAGTCCAGATCCAAACTAAAATAACAGAGTTGTCTTCTAGAATTCATGCTTCAAGTGCTAAATGCTAAATCTACGACAAACGTCAGCGGTCATGCTTTGGCATTCATTCCTTTGCTTGGATACTTCAAAACAAGCTACATCATCCTGATCTTTCCCCGTCACCCTTTTGTTTAGGCTCTCTTAGTTAGTTGCTATCGCCTACCCCTGCCACGTTTGCCTTCATTTTTACCATCAAGATCTACTGAATTATGTTCAAGTGTCCCAGAAACGGCTTTTGTGTCTTATTGATCGCTTTTATCAGCGAGTGCCATTTATTCTAGATCTATGAAGAGGAAAAATCCAGCACATACCAGGCATAGTTTCGAGGTCCCTTCTTCAGGAGTTGTTCACCAGTCGCCTTTACAATGTTTGTCACCGATTTGGCTCTATTCAGCTTAAAATTGCTTAAAAACTTGATCAGTCGGAAGAGGACCGCAGGCTGTGGGTGTATGTGTTTTTTAGGTTGTCGTTATTGTTACTGTTCATTGTAATGATAACGATATTGGTGATGATGATGATGATGATGATGATGATGATGATGATGATGATGATGATGATGGTGATGATGATGATGATGATGATGATGGTGATGATGATGATGATGATGATGATGATAATGATGATGGTGATGGTGATGATGATGATAATGATAATGATGATGATGATGATGATGATGATGATGATGATGATGATGACGATGATGATAATGATGATGATGGTGACAGGAGCAGCGGGGAACAGCGGCTGTACTGAGCGAATACACCACTTTGATGGTATTGATCATGGTATCGATGAGACCCCCGACGATACAACGTTTACAAACTTATTGAATGTTACGTTCTATCGCAAAAGTTGTATAACATGCGGAACCAGCGTATGAAAACTAAGTGACTCTTGTTCCTGCTGGATTTAGAAGATAACAAAAAGTTTTTTTTTACCCCAGTTGCACCAAGTTGTATTTTCTCATGACAAACAAGATGGACAAACAGCTATTCTTCGACAAAACACAATTTTTCATTTCTGACGCTAATTTTTTTTTTTTTATTTCACAATCATTAGCAAAGATGTGATTCCCATCATGGGACAAAATTATTTTTTTTCTAGAAAATGTGCCTATTTAAAAAAAAATTTTTTTTTTTTATATTTGTAAAAACATATATTTTAAACGTACTCCCGACAGAACACGCTTTTTTTTAACACCATACTCTCACTGGACACATTTTTCTTACAAATTCACGATGAAGAATCTTAGGGGAGTTCCTACAAAACTGGGTTTTTTTCTTCGGGGCCACTAAAACGCATAATTTATCTTTACCCTAATTCTTGATCGTGCTTTGCTCTACAAAACACACCTTTTTTCACAAGCACACTCACTCTCTCTCTCTCTCTCTCTCTCTCTCTCTCTCTCAC